TAAGTAAAGGAGAAAATCAAGTAAAATTTTTACTTGGAATGGAAAGAAAACTAAAAAATATAAATAAGTAAACAACTTACCTTGAAGTATTTAGAGAGAAAAATTGGTGACAAAAAAGCACTTGCCGGACTCATAGGAGAAAAAAGAAAAGGCTGAGTGGACACAATGGTGACTTGATAAGACTAAGATCTAAGTCTGAAATAATGTTAAAGACTAAAGAGAAAAGGTGGAGTTGAATCTTGAAAGTCAAAAGCTGTATGAACTATAGAGGTTGAAGAATATGAGAAGAGTTTGAAGTTTGAAGAGTTAGAGTCTTTGAGAGTATTAGGGCAAGCAAGAATAGGAAAGGTTAGGAGGTGAGTTATGAGTGGAGTGTGATTATTTTTACTTCTAGAAGATGATGAATCAAGATAATCAATTAGTTAATTAGGGAATATTAGTTAATTATTAAAAGTTTAGGTTGGATTGGGAATTGGAAAACAAAATAAATAAATAATAAATTAAAAAATTTTATATTTTTAAACGGGTAAACGAGTCAACCCCATTAATCCGATGGGTCAACCCGTTATTGACCTGTGACCCGTTAGGTTCTCTTAACGGGTCATTAACGGGTCACAGGTCATAAATATATGATCATAACCCGTTTTAAACGGGTGGGTAATAGGCGAGTTAACGGGTTGGGTAAAAAATTACAAGGTCTATCTAAGGACTCAAACCCGACTCATAAGGCCCATAGAGTCTTTTTCCCTTTTTTTTTTTTTAATGTTTAAATGATAAACTTGGTAGAATTTGAATTGTAAAAGTATATTTATTTATTTTTTTTAATAACAAATAATTCAGATATATATTTTTAAGAATAATATCTAGGTGAAATCTGGTAAGCTAAATCACTGAAGGTTGGTAAAGAACAAAATGGAAGCATTATCTGCATTTGCCTTGGCCCCAAGGCATGTAGGTGAGAATAAAGAGTAAGTCTTTAATAGCATCGGGAAAGGTCTGGGAGGGAACAGTCATAACTCATAGCACAGAAAGGCTGGCCCTAACCCGGAGGCGGCTCTGGCAGCTACAATGAATGTTGTGTGACGCTCAAGGTCAGCCCCTATTACCCATTTACGTTTTAGGCGAACCGGGCATGAAGCCAAAGCTTTAGGGATTGGGTGAGGCGAAGGTTAGGGTTTCGAGCCCTCCCATCGCTGTGAATTCCACCAACTTGCGACTTAATGGTTGTGCGTTTCATTTGAGGGGTGAAATGTTCACCATTTTGGGAATCTCAGTTGCTAATGACTAACTCATACTAATTTCCTAACCATTACCCCTGTAAAAAAAAAAAAAAAAACCATTTACGTTTTAAACATTTCATTTATTGTCAGTCTGTGTATAATTCTTTCTTCTCTACTATTTTTTCGATTTTGGGTTACAATTGGAAGCAATTTTCTTTTTCCTATCCTTTTAACCCTCGTTACATGCATATTTATAACTTAAAATTTTTTATCTTAAAAAAAATTACTAATAAATTGTTTTTAATAGTTAATTTGGAAAACCTGTCTTTTTTTAAAATTAAAATTATTTACATATTAATTAAAACAATTTTATGAGATTCAAACACACGATCTACAAAAAGTAAACGATATAAATACAAGATTTATGTTATTAGACAGAACGGACCATTCAATTCTGAAAACCTATTTAGTAAAGAAAAGAAAAGAAAGAAAAAAAAAAACCCTATTAACCACATAAGTTTTAGCTTGATGAATATCAAAAACCCAATGGTTATCTCATTATTTATGTAACATAGATAACCTTCTAATAATTTCCACGTCATTTTCTACGAATAAGGCAGTTGTAAGTTGGACCCTCACAAATAGTGAGTTTTTTTTTTTTTTTTTTTTCAAAAATTTCCTAATTTTATGTACTAGTATTTTTTTTTTCAGCCAAAATGGTGAGAGTATATATATAAACGGAGGTACTATATTAGTGGCCAAATTTTTACTGTATACATTTGTGCTGTCTTCGTATTGTATTTGATGTAAAAAAAAAATCTTTTTACTCTTATATTATTTTTTTAATAATATATTTAAATTAAAGCGAATAAGAGAAATGAAGATTTTTTTAATTAATTAAAAAACTTCACATTCTCTTTTCCTCCACTTCATTCTCCTTAAGTTGAACATACTGTATATAAATGTACCAAAACGCAAAGCTTGCCAGGTCGGTTGATAAATGTTATTTATATTCGTCATGGTGAATTGCAATCGAAATTTGTACATTATCTTCGCTGAAAATAAATTTTGAAAAAAAAAAGAGTTACCTCTTGTTATAATTACAAACATTAATTGGTACATTTTTTTAATTTAATACATTATATAATATATTTATAAAATTATTATTTTTTATATTAAATTAAAAATAAATAAATTTAAAAATATAATTATACATAAATTATATAATAATTGACTAAATGAATTATATTTATATTATATTTTAATAATTAAATTGAACAAATATCAAAAAATGTATCGAATCGAAAGGTATACCAATTAATTTCTTAAAACTCATACTTCATGTGTATTATAAGAAATTTATCACTATTAAATATATGATGAGAAATATAATTTTTTTGATTAAAAGATTATAAGTATTAGATTAATATAAAAATTAGTATACATAATTTATATAAATAAAATTTTTAATTCAATTATTAGTTTTTAAAAATATTAATTAAAAAATTAATTTTTAAACAAATCTTCTCAAAATAATTTAAGAGGATGAACTACGAAACATTTTTTCTCTATATATATATTTAGGCCTATATAATAAAATATAATATTCTTTCTTCTCTTAATTTATCCTCTACTTACTTTTCATACTATTCAAACTAAAAATTTCTTGCTTCTACATTTTTAGTATGATTTACATGAATCTTTACTACTTGGCTAATAGTTATGGATTAAAATTAAGTTTCCATGAGAAAACTTTCTGAAAATTTTGACAAAACCCTCTTTAATCAGCTAATTCCCGAAGACTCGAAAGCCAAATTCAGGATTAATGGGGCACTGCCAAGTCATCAACTTTTCCCAGAATAAGGACGAGAATCACAACCCAAATGTTAGCTACTAAGGTGGGGGAGAGCTCAATGCTATATAAACGTCTTACACCAGAATCTAGCTTAATTCAATTTTTAGTCTATTAACTATCACCTTAATTTCATTTTAGTTTAGAAACTATGTTTTATTTCTAAGTGGTTTATTAACTTTCGGATTCATTTCAATTTCATTTACTTGGTCAAAAATAATGGAAAACTTCCTATTCTGTTAGAGAATAGTTAGTTCTCTAACTATATTTTTTTATCTTTTAGTCCTCAAATTTATATTTATTATAAAAATAGCTTTTATACTTAAAATTATTATTTTTAGGTTTTGATATCAGATTTTTATACTTAAAATTATTATTTTTAAGTGGTCTATTAACTTCCAGGCTCTTATACCAAATTAAAAAAATAGGAAAACACATATCAAAATCTAGTATCATAGTTTATAAATAATAATTTTAAGTAAAAAAGTTATTTTTATAACAAATATAAGTTTAAGGACTAAAAGATCAAAAAAAAAATATAGTCAAAGGACTAACTAATTCTCTAACAGAATAAGAAGTTTTCCGTTATCTTTGACCAAGTAGACGAAATTGAAATGAATCTGAAAGTTAATAGATTACTTAGAAATAAAATATAATTTTTAGATTAAAATAAAATCAAGGTGATAGTTAATAAACTAAAAATTAAATTAAGTCCCGGAATCTCCATCGTGACGCTGATGTGAGATCCAAGTCTCAAATCTGCCATGGCAAATTAGCAACCTTGTTCAGACATGAAAAACCCCATGTCATCTGGTGTAAAAAACTAATTTCTATATTTTCTCTTTGTATTTAAACAAAAAGTATTATATGAATCAGCCCAATGGACTGATGGTTCACCATAAAACTTAAGAATTTGGGTCTAAATGATCGGCAATTCTACTCCAACCACTTACTTAAAAAAAATTCTCTTTTCCCCCAATTCCCCTATGTTTAAGGAAAAAAAAAGTATTATACAATTTGAATTATATTGAATTACACAATAATTAAAATGTTTCTAAACCAATTTATATGCACCTCAAGACTAATCATCCCTAATTTAGTTAAAGGGAAACCATTCATATTGGGATTAAAGAATTTATGAGAAATTAGATTACCTCTTTGTTAGTTTTCTCAAAAATTTGAATTTTAATCAATAAGGTAAAAAGCAAACCCTCTTCATAACGAAAACATAACTCCCTAAGTACTTAACTATTAAGTGAAGATCGACCCCTAATATTAAGGACTCTCATTCAATAGTAGTATTTTATAGTTCAATAATGTATAAGCTTTTAGGTTTGAATATGTATTATTTTATAATTTCATATATAAACTTTTAGGTTTGAATACCAATTTGGTTGCTCAACTTTTAAATTTGTACCGAAATTATTCTTAAACTTCAAAAGGTACTAAAATTGTCTCTAAACTTTAATTTTGAATATTGAAATAGTTTTTCTGTTAACAAAAATGTCATATAATTTATTATTTTGTCACAAAATTAATATTTTTTTTAAAATATTAATGATGTGTAAAACTAAATACTCATATTTTGTCATCATGGCATCAAAGTTGAGAGGCTAAATTGGTACTTATAATCAAATTTTGAGAACTAAATTAGTACTTGTTCTTAAAGTTCAAGAACTAAGTTGATTTAATATGTAAATGGAAATGTGCTATAGTAACAAAATATAACTGTTTAATTTTATATATCATTAATATTTTAAAAAAATTAATTTGTAATAAAATAATAAGTTATATTATACTTTTGTCAACGGAAAACTATTTCGATACAAAAAATTAAAATTTAAGAGTAATTTTAATTCATTTAAAAGTTTAAAGACAATTTTAATATAAATATAAAAGTGAAAGATTAAATTAATATTTTAATCAAACTTTTATTAAAATTAACCGAACTTCAGGCGTTCACAAAAGGGTCTTGGACCCTTCTACGCTCGGACAATTCTTGCGATGCACCCTTCGACAGCCCTTGGCTGGCTGGGGTCGTTGTCCCAGTATTTTATTACACTAATAACTAGTATTGTATTTTTATGGATACTTGTGAGATACTGAGATGCCCCTCATTAAGATGCGACGATGATGGGCTTTATAACCCCACCACCCTCCCCTTATAATCTCCACGTTTCCCTTCATTTTTCCATTGATCCTTCCCTTCCCCTATTAAAGGAGCACCTCCATTTCTCCCCCCACATTGAAAGCTCAAACATTCAGCCTCCAACCCTTTCTCTATCATTCTTAATCTCACTCTTTCTCTCCTTTCTGTTGGTTTCTGGAGAAACCCACAACCAGAATCTACATTTTAAGTCATTTTAATTCTGTATATATACTTCTATATACCTGAGTCATAGTTTGCAATGGGTGACTCACTGAATTCGGAGCTCTTATCTCCATCACCGTCATCATCAGGATCAGGGGTGTCCAATCCGACACCCAAGTCGGCCGGAAAGAAATCCGGGCAAACCGAGACGAATCCGCCGAAACGTCAAAGGGACGGTAGTAAGCACCCAGTGTACCGTGGGGTCCGAATGCGGTCCTGGGGGAAATGGGTGTCAGAAATCCGGGAGCCCCGGAAGAAGAATCGGATCTGGTTAGGTACCTTCTCGAACCCCGAAATGGCGGCACGTGCACACGACGTAGCGGCGCTGAGCATCAAGGGCGACTCAGCTATCCTCAACTTTCCCGAGCTCGCCGGGTCCTTGCCCCGACCCGCTTCCAACTCACCTCGAGACGTTCAGGCCGCCGCCGCTAAAGCCGCAGCAACGGAGTTCCTTAATGACGGGTCCCAATCACATTCATCATCAGTGTCATCCTCTTCGTCATGGATGTCATCGGTATCATCCAACAGCGAAGACGTCTCGACGCCGGAGGAGCTGAGCGAGATAGTGGAGTTGCCGAGTCTGGATACTAACTACGAATCCATGAAGTCTGGAACCGATTTCGTGTTCTCCGACTCGGTGGAGGGATGGCTGTTTCCGAGCGGACTGCCGTGGTACGACGTTGAGCATTGCGGATATTTTGGGGAGGAACTTTCGATGCAAATGCAAGATAGTGTCATCACAACTGGATTTGGTCCTTCCTTATGGGGCCATTAATACAATAATCATACCCTCGTGTTTTTCTCTCCTTTGTTTCTCCTTACAAAACTTATTTAATTTTTGTACTGGCAAAATAAAAAACTCTTTTTAGTATGTATATTTTTTTCTCATTTTTCAAAATTGTAAAAGTCCTTTACTTTTTGACATTATTTAATCACAAAAAAATTAGTACTTAATTATTGCAGAAGCGGAATCAATTAGTGTTAATTATGAAGTTAAATGGATGTAAACTTGAATAATTTGTCCTAAATGGTTTTGAAATGAGGACCAAAAAGATAAAAGTACCTTCCTTGCATCTCAAGAAGGGAGGCATAATTTAGGGTGAAAGAAGTGGTCCAAATACTCTCCTAGGGTGGCTAAAATCTTACAGTGTCTTTTTCAGCTTTGGCTGCTAGTTGTTTTAGATTGAGTAGTGATCAGAATAATGGAGATGGTGAAAAAAAACAAAAAAAAAAAAAAGGTGGTTCAAAGACTTGGATAACAATCAAGTCTTTTCAACAGCATGGGTAAAAAAGAAAAAGGACCTGAAGAAATTGATCGATTCTCTTTCCATGTGTTCCTCTCTGTTTCATCAGTTTTATGTTTGTCTTTGCAGTTTATCTCTCTTTCTCTCTGCTTTATGCAGAGCTTTCAGATAACTCATGAAATGGGTAATTGAAGATTCAAAGGTACTTTTCATATGCCAAAAACTTTGAAGGTAGAGTGCATGAAGCAATAATACATTCTATATATCACACAAAAATTAATTTTTTTTAAATATATCAAATTTATATAAGAGATGTTAGTGGTTTATTAATAATTTTTTTTAATAAAAATAAGAGATGTAAAATTTAAATTAT